CATTTGCGACACTTAGTAGAATTAAATTAACTCTGATATTGTTTGAAATGTAAGTGTACATTGTCACACTTATTGGTGTTCAGTTTAACTCTACGCACTGTGGCGCATGGAGAGGGCCAGGAACCACAAGGTTGGTGGTTCAAATCCTGGCGGCTCCATGTCTCATGTTGAAGAGTCCCTGAGCAAGACACCTAACCCCAAATATTTCTACAGACTATAAAACATGGGTAAAGAAAGCAAAGTAATTTGCTTTGAGGAGGTAGATTTTGAGGTAAGTGGAATGACGAGGCAGAAGGTAAAGTGGTCCACCGTTCTATCAATAAGCAGACCTGCCAACCTGTTCAAAGTACGCTGGTACGATTTGTCAGTTCAACCAGTTCAAAACCCCTAGAGGGGTGTGGTGCCGGGCGTGGTTTGGCTCGGCTGCAGAGAGGACGGAGAAGGAAGTGGTTCGGGGAACAGTGCCGGGGGAGGCATAATCAGCCTCAACTGAGATTAATCAGTGTTTGTGTTCCTTTAAGGAGAGATCCGGCGAGGAGGGAGGCGAGGAGGCTGGAGCCGGTCGTGCGTTGTAAAAACGATAAAATAAAGACTGTCCACTGAAACCCACAGCCGCATCCTCATTATTCCTGGACCCCCACAGACCCGCACGTTACAGTGGCGCCCAACCTGACTGGGGGATGGAAGGGGCGGTGTTAAGTACAAGGAAAGATTCCAATAAGAAGAGATTTCTGGTTTGCATTAAATCATTTTATTGTCTATTAACATAAGCGCGGGGAAAAGTCCTCTCGAGAACAAAGGCCTTGTGGAGTCTGTCTGTTTGCCCAACCCCCGCGACGCGTCGCTGGTTCCTTTATCCTGGGTAATCTAGAGAGGCCACGCCCACTTCAATCAGGTATGTCCATACATGGAGACATACGCCACACCTGGTCAACTCCCCACTACCGTGGAAGCGTCTTCATTGGTAGAGCCAAACAATCTGCAATGACAGTAATTAGGGACATGCAATATAGCCACAACAGGCGACGACGACCACCAGCAGGGGATGGCGGCCCAGCCGATTGTGGCGCTCGGCCAGATGATCGGGAACCTGGCGGGCATCCTGAGGGAGCAGGCGGACGCCAACCGACAGTTCCTGGGGGCGCTCCAGGCCCAGGTGGGGAGACAGGCCCAGGCGCTGGAGCAGCTGGCCGCATGGCCCCCGGCAGAGCCGCCGACGCAGAGGCCTGCGGCGCTCGCCGGTGTCACGCTCCACTGGATGTCGGCAGGGGACGACGTCCAGTCGTTTCTGGAGGCCTTCGAGGCAACGGTGGAGGCGTGCAGCAGGCCGGCGGGGGAGTGGCGGTTCGGCTTTTGCCTCTCCTGACAGGGGAGGTGCAGACCGCCAGGCGCAGGCCACCGGTGGCGCGGCGCGATTACGCCGACGTCAAGAAGGCCGTAATGGACAGGCTGGGGCTGTCGCCGGAGGACCACCGCCGGCGGTTCCTGGGAGGCCAGGCTGGGGCTGCAGGACCGCCCGTTCGCGTTCGACCAGCGGCTGAGAGACGTCGCCACGAAGTGGCTGCAGCCGGACGGCGCTGGAGGGGTCCAAGGGGTGATGACGCGGGTGGTGCTGGAGCAGTTAGGGGAGGGGCTCCTGGCCCGGACAGCGGCGTGGATCCGGTGCCACCGTCCGACGACCCTGGAGGCAGCCATCACCCTGGCGGAGGACCACCTGGCAGGGACCGGGAGAGTTCGCCGGCGTCAGTCCGACCAGGAGCTGCGACACGGGGAGGGAGGCTGTTTTCCTCCGCACCACCGGCCCCGGGGAACCCAGGCACACTTCCCAACCCACAGAGAGGTTCTCAAGCCCCGGGGCAGGAGTGTTGGAGGTGCGGGCGGCTCGGTCACCTCTGGAGAGAGTGCCCGCTGATGGAGGTGGGACAGGTGATCCGAGTTGTCGGCATTCCGGCATTCTCCCCCGGTCCGGGAGCGACGTACCGCGTTCCGGGTAAGAATCCAGGGGGGTACACGCCAGGCGATGTTGGATTCGGGCTGCACGCAATGATTCACCAGAGCCTGGTTCTGCCGGGGGCATTGGTGGAGGCAGCGCGGGTGTGTATACAGTGTGTGCATGGGGATGTTCACGAGTATCCTGTGGTATCGGTGGAAATATATCTGGGAAAAAAGCATAGAGTAAATGCTCGCGGGTAGCTCCCGCCTGACGCACCCCGTCATTTTGGGTACAGATTGGCCGGGGTTTGATAAGCTAATGGGGGAGGCTACGGGGGTGCGTTCATGACCGACGGGGTTATGCGGGATGTGTGCTGTGCTCAGCGGTGACGCGGGGTCGTCCGACACTGCAGACGGGGAGAGGGAGCCAGCTCCCGAGTTTCGCTCCATAGAAGATTTTCCAATCGAACAGTCTCGTGACGATACCCTACGCTCAGCCTACAACCAAGTGATACGAATTGATGGTCACCTGGTGCGCCCTGACGCAGCGCAGTCATTTCCGCACTTTTCATTGATTAGGGACAGACTGTATCGGGTGAGCCGTGACACTCGGGGCAGGAAACCACTCAGTTGCTGGTGCCGAAATGGACTCTTAAGTCCATGATCCGTAAATTTATTAGCGACGATGAACGTAATTGGGATAACTGGCTTGACCCTCTGTTGTTTGCAGTGCGGGAGGTCCCCCAGGCCTCCACGGAATATTCGCCCTTTGAACTTTTGTTTGGCAGGACGCCGCGGTGTGACACCTCCCAAATGTTACAAGTTAGTCCCACATGGTCTATTGTCTTTGTTGGTTTTGTTTGAGAGAGATATTAAGTGAACAGTAGTTCTTTTTATTGACTCATTTGAAGAAATTGAAGGAGTCTGATGTATGTTTTCTGTTCATTTTGGTTCAAAAAAATCTAAGAAACACTTTGAATCTGCAGACTACTGCCTAAAAGTATTATTGTTGCCATTTGATGACAAATGCATATACAGGAAACCCAAATAACTGAGGTTAAATGTTATTTCAGTTTCAAAAAAAGCCTCCAATGTTTTATAAAATGTCCCTGGTTTTCAGTCATTAGGGGCAAAAATTGCACCCTAAATAATATGTAAATTTCCTAACCTGGCTGCCACAGGATACCGGTCGGTCTCTGTCTATCTGGAGCGGAGGCAATGCAACTGTCTCACTAAACTAACGTAACGTCACGTAATATTCCCACAACCCTTAAAACATTTCATGAAACCAAAAGGTTGGCCTAATTACACACATATAAGCCTGAAAACAGCACCATCAGTCATGTTTAGCGACGACTAGCTCGCGTTCTCACCCTATCTCTAAGGGAGACGCCAGCCACTCTCCTAAGGAAACCCATTTTGGCCGCTTATACCCGTGACCCAGTTCTTTCGGTCATGACCCATCGTTCATGACCTTAGGTGAGGGTAGGAACGAAGATTGACCGGTAGATCGAGAGCTTTGCCTTCCAGCTCAGCTCTCTTTTCGTCACAACGGTGCGGTAGAGCACTCTCAGTCCGATGTAAATCTACGAGTTTGGCATTCACCTTTCATCCTCATCGCTGTATTACAACGTGTAAGTCAGGGTCTCATAAGTCTTCCAGTGTGGTTACAGAGATGTGAAGAGCTGCCGGTGGGAGTGGCTCTTTATTGTGGGACTTCTTCTGTTCCTGACAGCTGCTTTATAAAAAATTCCACTTGGACTATTTGTGGTCCTCGAGGTCCCCCTACAGTACATGCGATTATTATAACCGCTATGTTACAGTGCACTGTGGTTTTTGTTAAGCTGTTGAGAGCTTCTGCATCACTGTGTTGGCTCACAGCACAGAAGTACAAGCCCTTATCTTGCGGCTGCAGGTTCTTCACTGTGAACGTCCCACTGTCAGCGTCGGGCTTGGTGGCTGAAAATTTCTCCTTGCTGAAATTTCCAAAATCATGATTCACGCCCAAGGACGTGTACACGATCTGTTTCATAGTTTCTCCTGGCAGCTGTCTGTACCAGTACATCTGGTAGTAGCTGCTCCCCTTGGTGTGGCTGCAGTTCATTGTTGCCTCGGCACCCTTGTCTTTCCACAGCAGCGCAGTCTGGGTGACATCACTGCCATCAATATGACCTGTGTGAGTGATAGTTAAGAAGTTAACGTCTATGAACTGCATATCTTTTTGCATTGCGCTGTTCCCGGGAATCGCTTCCAACAGAACAATCATTAACAACTTGATGTTATTGTAAATTACCTGCAGTCCACATAAAAAAGAGAGCTATTCGGAGGAGGTCTTGTTTGATGAGCATGTTGTTACATCCAGAGTGGCATGGAGAGTCGTGGAGTGATAAGGAAGTGCGGGTGGGAGGGTCACTGTGATGTCATGAGCTGCAAAGCTGCTTAAGTGGTACTAGAGGTCCCCCTATTGTTCTTCACTCCTCCTTCGAATACTTCTATTTAGATCAGTAACACTGACAAAGCAATGAGGCCAGATTCCATTACATCCTCTATCTTTGACATACACATTTAAGGAACTTTTTTAAAAACAGAAGCTAGATCTCCCTGTATTTTCTTACTAGACGGTGAGGGGAAACATATGTCAGACTTTGAAGGTGATGACAGGTATGTCTTTGTAATGAATTAATCATGATTCCAGGGGAGGTAATGGGAAATGTTCACAACCATGTTAATTTTTGAAACAATCTTTATTTCTTCAGAACATCACAGCAGCGATAGAGTGTATTGTCAGAGCAAGACACTGACGTGTCAAAGCAGATGATAAGATCATCAAGTTCACTTTAGATGTCAGCAGGTGTTAAAGAGACGCAACGTGCTGATTGTCTGGCAGGCAGACAAAGTGGAGTTTTAGTATTGAAGTGAGAGGAATCTGCAGCACTGTGCTGACTGGCTGCACAGAAGTACACGCCAGTGTCATTTAGTACGAGATCCGAAATGGTGAGGGTTGCAATATCACGGGCGTCTCCTTTCAAGTCTATTTTGCCTTTTACGTCGTCCTCTGGGTTTGGGTAGTCCACATTCAGGAAACCCAAGAGCTTTAGATCTCCTCGTTCTTTTTCTCTTTTGTACCAGAGGAATACGTCGTAATTTGGCATGTTGTGTGAACAGCTGATCTCCTTGCCGACAACAGATTGCCCAAGTTCCTTAATGATGCTCGGAGGCGTTTGGAAGACACCTTTGGGGTGAGAGGCACCTGCGGATGAAAAAAAAGACTTTGAATAGTGAAATCAGCATTTGTACAGCGTCTTTGTTGAATGTCCAATGCGCTTCTCACCATTATTTCCTGGAAGATGAAGAAAACGAATCATAAAGACCAACAATATCATGGTGAGGAACTAGATTTTACTCTTTGCTATCAGCTCTTCTTTCAGTGCATCACTCTCATAGTTTAATGAACACTGGTGGTGATGAAAAGAGGAGCAGGGAGGGAGTAGAGAGAACTTACATTTAGTCAAAGGAAGCTCTTGTGTCCTCAAATCATTTCCTGGGGCTTGTTGCCCCCTGCTGGTGTGAAAAGTCCAGTAAGTTGGCCCAGCAATGGTTTTGTGGTGTTGTTTTTACATTTGACAAATCTTCACAATGGCTGATTTCAGATCAGTGCTTCAGATTGTGCCATATGATTCCGTACCTTGTTCTCCTAACATCACACATACAGACTTACATATTGTACTAGCATGCGTACTATTAAATTCATTGTCACAGGGCCTGTATTGATCCAGCACAGGACCTGCTGCTCTCGTAGGACCAAAGGACCCCTTGTGGATAACTAGAATTAGCACTGTATCTTAGAGATAAATTCATAACTTTATTGCAAAATTTCACATTTTGCCGTCATCCACTGGGCTGGAGTCTTTAGCGTATCGGTTCTGGCCCCTCTGATTTAGACCCAATGACGCCCCTTTAAGTGGCTTTTAGCGTGATTAAATGAGTCAATATGTTTATTAGCTCAAGGTTCATACCAAGTGGTAACTCCCAGACTAAACTTTCGATCTTTTCGATTTTGGCCACCAAAGGGGCAACTCCTCTTGTTGCAATCAGTCCCAAAATGTCCCTATTTCTCACCTGATTTATTCCCTCTGTAAAAATTGTAAACATGCTGATGGTCTCAAAAAAAATGATCTTGCCCAACGCTGTGAACACTGTTAGTTGCGTTTTTCCTCCTGGCAGCTGACTCTGGGGGCGACATCACGGCCGCCAGTTAGATCTGAGTGAAACAGTGAACACTGCTGTAAGTGATGTTATCATCCCAACAATTACAAATAATTTCACAAATCTCAAATTTTAAAGGTAGATTAAAGTCAACTACTACGAGACAGTGGCGAGCCATCAATGCCAGCCTAAACGTCATCAGAATTTAATTATGATGTCTTTTTTTCCACAAAGAGATGTTAAATGATTCCCCACTGTATTTTCTTTTCATTTCAAAGCTTTCCTCTCGGTTGCCTTTTTTTCAACCCACAATGCCTGATGGATCACACAGATATTTTCAATGCCATTTTCAAGAAATTCATTTTAAGGTGATGCAATACCCAGTTATACTGTGTTTCTGTCTTAATGCATAGTCCCTGTAGTCATGGCGTCATAATGATGGTATTCCTTCAGGTAGGTTGTGTGAAGATGCAAACTGCACGGCTGCCACTAAACCAGACCTCTGTGTGGCACACAACTAAGAACAAAGCTTCTTTGATCACACACCTGTTTTAAGAGCTAAATAATTGAATGGCTTAGTTTAGTTACATCTATTTTTTTTTCTTGGTGTGTCAATATAATGAAGACGATGAGATCTTTGATTTTCTTTTTTTTTACGTGTGTGTTTGTGTATATAAATATGTTTATCTGTGATGAGTAGTTCTGTGGGCGGCACGGTGGTGTGGCGTGGTGGTTAGCACTGTGGCCTCACAGCAAGAAGGTCCTGGCTTCTACTCCGCCCAGTGGCCTTTCTGTGTGTCCTCTGCATGTTCTGCAGTCTGCATGTTCTCCCCGTGTCTGCGTGGGTTCTCTCCGGGTTCTCCGGCTTCCTCCCACAGTCCAAAGACATGCTCTGGGGATCAGGTTGAATCGGGACACTAAATTGCCCGTATGTGTGTGAATGTGAGTGTGAATGGTTGTGCGTCTCTGTGTAGCCCTGCGATTGGCTGGCGACCAATCCACGGTGAACTCTGTCTATTGCCCCAAGTTGGCTGGGATAGACTCCAGCCGCCCCGTGACCCTGTGTGCAGGATAAGTGGTATGGAGATGGATGGAGTAGTTCTGTGACTATGGACCTTTCTTATTTTTCTGTGATAGCACCCTTCAATCTGAGAGTGAGTGTTTTGATCCGTGGCTAATTCACATTTCTGTTTGTCCTTGGGCATGACACGTCCCCCCAGCATTAATCAGCTAGCTTTGACTACAGTGGGTGAATGGTATCACGTAGTTGTTACAGAGTAGTACAGAGCTGTACTGTGGTTAACCGATGAGCAGCGCCCAGTAGATAGCACTGTTTTGATACAGACAGACAGTAGGGAATTCAGCCAGACTTGACCAAACTGAGTTCAGCCTCAGTGTCACATTTTCTACAATGGAACAGTATAATGTAGTTTAAACAGTCCTAAATACACTAGGTATTTAACCTCTTAAGACGATGAAATCACACAAAACCAAATTTCTGCAGCTACAAGATAAAACTAATATGATAAGATTAACCACAGACTCGTGTCACAACCTTAATTAAAGAGAATGAAGATCTTCAACCACATAATACATTTATTTAGACGGTAGATTTATTTACACAAACAACATCAACAAGCATGAGAATTTACAGTTTTCATGACGTCATGGTCTGCAGTGCGTCATAATGCTCTTTGAGACAAATAATAACGCATTTTTTCTTGGTCTTAAAGACAATCTTCACTTCACAAAGGCTCGATCTCTTTACAAAATAACAAAATGTTTGCAAAATTCCTCAACATAAGGTATAAATACCAATCGCTTCGTAGTTTCAATCCTTGCTTCAGAGCAAGCCTGCCAGCTTCTTCAAGACGCTAACAGTCTGACCTTTGACCCGACAGTGCACTTCAGCTGAATCTGTTTGTACTGTGTTATGAACATTAGGGGAGAGCAAACACTAAATAATAAATAATCAGGATAATTACCATATTCCTTTTCCCCTTGGTTGATTATTCTGAAGGGACCGCTGACAGGGAGAATCATTTATTTAAAAACCTATTTGGCATGTTTTCCTGTTCGAAAACTCAAGCAAATAGAACCCAAACAATTTGATGCTGCTAAATTTGGTGAAAACATCGATGTGTAAATTGGTTGATCGGACCTTTTTTTTATTTTTTATTATGACCTGCTCCCGTAATGGTTGAAAGGTCTGTTAGGGAAAAGTGTTGAATCCGGTCTTATTGTGCAACGGGATGCCCTCCGCTCCTCTGAACTCCTCCGCGATGTCATCGAACGTGCGTCCTTTGGTCTCCGGGAGGCGCATCCAGGTGAAGGCGAAGGCGACCAGAGCCACGGCCATGAAGAGCAGGTAGACGTACGCGCCGCAGACTTTCTGCGCGCGTGGGAGAGACAGACAGGTGTCCTTTTCATCAGGGTTACATGACGTAGCGTACAGAGGGTACCTTTACCTTCGGAACCCTCCTACTGATAACTGATTTACACAACACATGAAAGTCCAGATTCGTAGTTTCAGGCCGACTGCCATCTCTGCAGCACATCTTTCCCTGAACCACTGTTACTTTAGTCACTATTATTTCAGCCTGGCGTTGCAGGAGTTAGCAATAGATTTATTTAGATTAAAGATTCAGATTTATGGCTGTTTTACAACATATGTGTTTATATAACAGATTTATAGCTGGTGTTTGACAGTCACGTCTCTAAGGTGTAAAGGAACTTGCGAAAGCAAGAAATCCCCCTCCGCAGTTTAACTCGGCCGACCCTGTGGACCCACCAGTAGAGGAGGAAAGAGGAGTGCCAGAACAAACTTCCCGCCCCAGTTGAGCATGCTGGTGAAGGCCATGGCGATGGGGCGGCCCGGCTGGTCGAACAGCTCGGCGGCGATGAACCACGAGATGGGGCCGGGGCCCAGCTCGTAGGCCGAAATCAGGCAGAAAACCAGCAGGACCTGCAGGCTCCGCAGCTCTGGGACCAGGTGCTGCGTTGTGGAGGACGCACAGTCGGGTTTATCGTCAATGTGAGATTCAGGTTTTATTTGTGTTGATATGCGCGTGCCAAAACGGATATGTAGTGTAATAATGTAAATGTACTACGCCTTTTTTTTCCACCTGATGTTAGAGAAAAAGCATATAGCTTTACTTTAGAGGACAAAAGCACTGCTAAAGTAGTTGGTTGCACAAATGGAAAAAAAACCTTACCAGGACCGAATCCACTATGGTCATGAGTAGGTTACACACTGCTATGGAGATGAAACCAGTCAGGAGCAGCCTCCTCCTTCCTGCCCTTTCCATCAGGAAGAACTGCAAAAAAAAAGAGGAAAAGATCATCACAAATCAAATATTTGTCACAATGAGAGAGTCACCGTAACTGCTCTCTCAGATGGTTACAAATATTTGACCTCTGACCTCTGATTTTGTACTCACCGCCACCAAAGTGAAGGTCACATTGACGGCCCCCACGCCCAGAGTCAAGTACTTGGCCTGATCAAACTTGGCCTGAAACATTCTGGTGGAATAATTAATGATCTGGAAGAGAGGAGCGGTCACTGCTTTTCGGTTACTGGGTTACTGGGACGCCTTTATGGGGTTTGGTGGGCAGCGACCTACCAACCCCAAATCTGACTGCCAGAGAATGAATGATGAATTGGAAAAATACTAGAAAGACGCGCAAGTAAGTATTAATAAGACAGCGAGCAGTGCTGTTCAAATCCTCTTTAGGAAGTCTTCAAAATTCTTGATTTGCCGTCACGGATAGATTTCATCATACGGACCGCATTGAATCCAGACAGCTTGCTGCCCAAGTTGATGACGAGGACTAGGATGATGGGCTTCTTGGTACCGGCGGCTCCTTGAAGAACCTCGTGAATGGTGACGCCGCTCTGAGTGTGGGCCGCCTCCTCCTTCATCTCTTCCAGCTCAGCGAACACCTTTTCTGAGCTTCCTCTCAGCCTCATGAGGGCTGCAGGGTTTTAAAAAGAAGAAGCATGTTTTTCTTTTTCTTTTTTTTGTAAAGGAACTGTTGTTGTGTTTCCACAGAGCCGAGAGATTAGAGTGCTTTGAAAGCATGTCTCAGATTCCCACCGGCCTCGGCTTTACTCTCCTCCCCCCGGTTGATGAGTAGGTAGCGAGGGCTCTCGGGGCAGAAGGGCAGGACCAGGTACTGTATCAGGGCCGGAATGACGGACAGGGATAGCATCATGGACCAGTGATGCTCCGTTCCCAGCACTGTCTCCAGACCAGCCACCTGCAGCCCACAGATACAGGGAACCACTTTTTACCTCTAGTGAAGCCCATTTGAAAATATTCATTAGTAAAAATATATATATATATATATATGTAATAATTACCATAATTGTATAAATGATAAATACAGCTACTACATAAAACAGCATTACCCCAAGCGTGTCCTAAATTGTCAGGAATACCATTTTTATGTAGACATTCCTGGATTATTTTTTATTTTTTGCTGGATCAACCTCCATAATCACTGCTGCATATAGACCTTATTTTAAGATCCACTGGTCCCAAATGTGTGCTCGCTGCCTCAAACAGCAGCATAACGAAAGTAAACGTCAATGTCCACTTTTCCAGTCAAAAACCGGAGATCTCCCCGCGCCGTCCTCACCATCCCCAACAGGATGCCCGTGGCGAAGGACACCTGGTTGAGCGTGGCGAAGGCGCCTCTCAGGTTGGTGGGGGAAACCTCCTGGATGTAGAGTGGGTTGAGACTCATGACCAGGCCGCAGAAGAGGCCGAACACCACGCGGCCCAGGATGAGAACCTCAAACGACTGGCTGGCTTTGGAGGCGGACATCAGACACGCTCCCACAACAGAGAGGCAGTTCACTATGAGGATGGAGTTTCGTCTGGAAGAGAAGACGAGGGCCGTGAAAAGACGCGGTGGAGGTTATGGGGACAACATGGGCTCTTCTTCTCACCGGCCTTGAGAATCTGCCAGGTATTTGACTCCCAGCGAGCCCAGCAAGGCTCCGAAGTCTTTGATGCTGACGGAGAGCGACAACAGGAGAGTGAGGCTGTGATCTGGCATCGTCTGGTTGTGCCTGACTCTCCAGGTGTGGTTGAAAAACTCTTCAATGATCTGAACAGAGAGCGAAAGGCAAAAGACGATCAGGAGACGGAGTAGAAAGTCAAACTGTGGGTTTGCTCATCTAACATTAAACTTAAACCTGAGTTGTTCTTTTGGGCGCGCCGGACCAATGAAAACGAAGGCACTTTCACTGCAGCTTTGCAACTATTCTGGACCACATATTTTGCGGGCCAAGTATTGCAAGGAATCAGAATGTCGAATCACTCGAGCACATGTAGTGCAGTCTCCCTGTGAAATAGCAAAACCCTGCCAGACCTGGAGCGGAGCCAGAGACGTCCAGGGCTCGTTACGTGTATTCAGTGTTTTATTAAGGCCGTGAGATATTTGTTTTGATGGTCAGACGGTTTTCCAGCGTCGGTCATAGAATGATGGCGGTTGGCTGTGGTTGTCTCGGGTCTGCATAATGGCTTTTCTGTTGCACATCTGAGATTATTTTTGCTTGGATGTTTCGCGACCTTTTTTCCGCATGACAGGTTTTCTATTTCTTTGCTGAGAAACATATTCTTCTATTTTCTCAATGAATCGTGATGAGCAGTGTGTTTACACAAAGCACATCCTGATTGCGTCACCGCGTGTCCCGCTCACCTTGGCCGGAGCGTTGACGTTGCCCGTGTGGTAGCCGATCTGCAGGGACCCGAGCACCGCTGCCAGGATGGAGGTCAGCAGCGTGGCGGTCAGACGGCTCTGGAACGATGCAGTCAGGGGGATTTATTTCCTTTTTTTCAACAGGAAGGGGTTTTTGTGTCACATTAAAAAACGCTGTAATTATGGTTTTGTTGTCTGTTGTAGGTCAGCAGAAACCACAGTGTTTTTACACACTGGTAAAATGTACAGAAGGTTAATCAGGACAAGCGTGTGTTGCCGCCTGTTGATTTGTAGACAAAAGGTTGAATCCAACAAACCTCCTGCGGCGCCATTAGTTAGGTACATGTGTCTTCGTCTGACTTCCTGTGAGAAACATAAATTATATATTATTTTGTGCTGACGTGGGGATTTTATATGTAACATAATGTATGGAGAACAAATCCAACACATTCTATTAAATGTTTCATAAAATATGTTTAGGCCTACTTGTAATAAAACCTGTATAAATTTCAAAAATAGTGATCCAGTAAATAGAAAGAAAAATGTCTGAAGTTAGTGAGTTTGTCCTTGTGAGGTGAACAGATGATAAAAGCAGCCCTGTAACTTCTATACCTTGACATTAATAAATATATTTGGAAAATTGAATGAAATTATTATGAATATTTTCCTCTTTTTTTATTATACCATTTAAATATGGGCAAAAGGCTGAGATTATTCTTAACTTCTCCATCTTAAAAGTCATACCCAAAGATTATGATAAGTGTAATAATTACCACCGTCCCTTGAACAGCTTCAGAACAATGCTGCCAACAGTTACACCCCATTAAACAGTTTTTATAAGTCCATTGCAATATATATTAATATCTATATAAACTCACCGCTGTTCCTGAGTGTCATCTGTTGATCCTGTCTTTATTCCGGAGTTTCCGATATGACTGTGTAAAGTGAACACGCACCTACACACACGCATTGGACCAATGATGAGGTCGCACCCAGCTGGTGAATGTGTGGCCGTCCTGCCAGAAGGGCTGCGGGCCTCCGCAAGAGGACCAGCGGCCCTCAGCTTTCACTGACTGAGGATCAGATTGTATTTTGCACCCAAACCCTCAAGTGAACTCTATAGGAAGCAGAGCAACTGTTCCCGGGTCGGGACCAAAATGGAAATCACTTCCATTTTTGGAGCCCTGTCCTGTCATTTTGGCAATAACACAGCCACGTGCTTTGGCTGTGTGTGTTTTTCATTGTGGGTGACATTGTAAATGGGAAATTCAGGAATGTCTGATGACCTCATTTCTCCCTGCAAGTATCACCCTAACCCATATTTCTTCCTGGCAGAAAAAAATGTTTTTAAGATCAAACCATTTGAAACCATCTGGCTTCTCCAATTCAAAAATGGAGATTATTTTAAGAGCAGAAGGCCTCCGGAGGGCCTGTACGGCGGTGTAGTGCCTGCCTGTCAGCTCACACCGAGAGGGCCCCTGGTGGGATCCCAGGCTGGACGGTCCCTCTGTTTGGATTTAGCATGTCAGTGTGGATTTAAGAGGGCTAAAGGTAACAGGCGGCCTTACAGGACTTTCTAAACCCATGCAGGATGCAAAATATAAAATAAATAAAACCTCATCTGACAGTTTAAAATCACGTAAAATCCTCTTCGTTAAATATGGTTTAATAACCTGTTTTTTTAAATTAGCAATCCTAACAGTTTCTTTCGTGTTCCTGTTTCACTCGTGAATTGAATGGGAAGACCTCACTTGCTATATTATACAACGAATATACTGCACAGTATAGTTAAAAACTAACACATGAGATGCGTTCAAAGTTCAGACCACTTAGTTGAGGAACAAGATCTGCTGACTGATGCAGGGAGGCTGTGTGCTGCTTTCAAGGACAGTCGCTTAACAGGCAACACCCGTCACACAATGCTGTGAGAATTTAACCGACAGTACCAGGAAGAAGTCAATGTCCTTGTCCTGGTATTGGCCTTGAAAAAGCTCCTTGCTCTCTGTCAGTCTGAAGAAATCCCAAAACCCTTATTTGGTTTTGGCACGTAGGCCTGGTGTTTCTTGGATGGACATTGGATGGGAATATAACCCTTTCCCATCCAATGTCCGTGGCTCTATGTAAAGCCTGCAAGTGTAAAATAGAGTTGTAAAAAATGCATTTGAATGAGCCAAATGAATAAAAGCAACCTAATCACTGTGTTGGGGGAGGAAACATTCCCCAGCCTCGCCACAAACCATATCATTGTCCATGGAAATTATCTTTTATTGCTAAACTCAAGTAAAATATGACCAAATAAATCTGAAGCGTGCCCCTGAGGCCCGGAGGTGATGAAAAGCTGATCATTCTAAATCCTCAGACTATGTGAAATACTTGAGCTGTGTTAAAGATACAGAAGTTCTAAAATGAATGAACTTCCCAGCGCTGGTTTCGCATTTTAAATCTTTAACTCTAGTTTTTTTTAATAGACTTTTGGACCTCAGTAGAAAAAGGGCATATTGTTCTTTTCCATCACAAGGAAATGGATTTATCTGAAAGCCAACTGGGATTTAGAAGAGCGCGTGCTGGCAGCCTGCTTTCCTTTAGTCTTTATTTCCCCCAAAGTCACAGGAGCGTATTTAAAGAGAGGAAAGAATAATTATGGCAAAATACGTCGTCCACCTGCACGCTTTGTTCCTGCAGCTGAGTTCTCAATCAGCGTGTGGACACGCCTGTCTGGAACATGACCTCTGACCCGGGAGCCCTCGCCTCCCGGCAGGCAACCCCCCCTGACCTCGCTGGGCAGGTGCTGCTGCAGGACCAGAAGGCATCAGGCACAAATGGTGAGCGGCATGCCCCCCCGCCCCATGTTAAGTTATCACACGGACTAATTGCCCTCTACAATTACCTGTAATGGTGTCTAATCTGTTCCAATAAGTGTTTCAATGCACACAAAAGTGGGGGGAAAAGTACATGAATTGATTTATGGACACTGAGACGTGTGGTACCGGGCTCTAACAGTCTGCTGCAGGGACAGATGTCAAATATTTCTTCTTTCTGTTAGTTAAGGTGTTCAGTGAGGAGAGACTGGGCTCTCTGTATCTGTATCGTGTATCTTTATTGTAGAGATAACATGATTCAGCAGCTGTACCCACAAATCCCTTCTAAAACCTAAAATTCCTGTCTTCACCTATGAAACCCCTTCGGCAACCCCCACCTCCACCCCACCTTCAACAAAGGAGAGAAGGCGCTCTCTCTAAAACACACATGCATCCCTAAGCAGCTGCGCCATCACGGAACTCTTTTGAACTTCACACTGGAAGTCAAATGCCACATGTGTCAGTCCAAGACAGATGTACAGCAGCTGCCCGCCGGCTCCAATTTCATGTGTGATACAACACTCTCACCCACCCGCTACCCACCCGCCCCTCCCAATCACTAGCAGCCTCCCATCACGCGCCGACAACATCTGCACCTTTTGAAGTCTCATCCCTAAATCCATGAATCTCACACCCACACAAATCATGAGGCCAAACCGAGTGCATCTTTTTATGCTTTGAGTTTTATCAGTCAAGAAAGGGTTGCAAATTCATTTTAAATCATTTTCATGCAAGAAGAGACTTTTTTCTTACAATATCACCTGTCAATTTTTAAACAAACTTTAGAAAGTTGCAGGACATAACTTTTTTCTTTAAACTCGCTATTGGCAGTTTATTGAATTGAATTAGCGTGGCTGATGTGTCATAGATGTGTGTGTGTGTGTGTGTGTGTGTGTGTGTGTGTGTGTGTGCATACTTGCCTAACACGTGAAGTGGGCTTCTCCACCGCCACCGTTAGGGGGCAATGCTCAGCACCCCCCACAGCACTGAGCACAGTTTGATACAAGGTGGTGTAAGTGTAAAACAGCATCAGCATCGGATCTATATCTACTTTTGTTGGTGTGATTTCTAGGATGTTGGTAAAGACCGTGGGAAGAGAAGGACATTGTTTTCTGGACAACAGAAATCCTGAACATTTCTCCTATTTTGTAAAGAATAAGCTGCATGAAACAGTTGCATGTTAGCACAACGCACAATGCCCTGCAATTTACACACCTTCAAACAAACGATAAACAAATGCTAATAAATCTAATATTTTTGTCTTTATTTCATATTATTATTTATTTAAATGTAGCCTCAGTTCAGCCGGGGAAAAGAACCAGGTGTAACCCCCCCCCCCCCCAAAGTCTCCCTCAGCACACGTCCCCCGTCGTGATTAGCAGCCCGTTGGGTCGCTTTCAGATCCCTCGTGTGATCTGCAGCTCTGCGGCGTCTGGAAGCACTTGGGCCGACACACACAGGCCCAGTGTTCATCCCCGACGCCTCTCCTCTCACTCTTGGCACAACTACCCACTACCAATTAGACGAGGATAGAAATGTGATTGTAGCGGATTAAGCGCAGTTAGATACTGTATACATTCTTGACCGCCAATAGTTATGAACGGGGGGCTAAAACACGAGCTGCAATAGTCAAATAATCCCACTAGAGATTTTAAAAACCAGCGCTCAGGGTTTATAGCGTACAGTCTGCTCCAAGCACTGAAACTTGATTTTGCTACTGTAATAGCCTGTTGTTTGACGTGATGTAAACACACAGAGAAGTATATATGGGTATGTACACCTATAAACATATGAGTGAGTAAGTGAACACCAATATAACCCATAATGAAATTTACTAATTCAAACAAAAAAAAGGTTATTGTACATATTTACAACGGGAGCCTGTCTTGTCTCGTGTTCATGAGCCTCTGCAGTGACTCTTGGGAATACAAGAAATAAACAACACCACAACAAGTGCACAAGCATTCAGACCACAATAACAGACTCAAACGTTTACAATTTTGCAACTCAAATTGTTCCCAAATGTGAGGAAGAAACTTTATTTTTTCATTCCGAAACGTGATACGGTCTTTTTGGGTGTTTCTCTTCCTGGCCTGATGCCCTCGTGGGTATTTCAGAAAGACGCACTGCATCGTCTCGCTCCAGGCGGCAGAGCTCCAAGTAAGTGTTTTACAGAGCAGGGCTGACATAAACTGTTAGAGGACGATACGGGTGTTTACATACACAAAATGACTGGGGAGGCTCAAATATTTATTTTAGGAACTGGCATTTGCAAATGCCACATCTTGCTGACAATAACTGGAATAAACGAGTATGACGGGTGAAAGGAGCCGATATTAACGGGACAGTGAGACGGTAAACTCCATTTGCTGGTTGGGTTCAGTCATCTGTCCCACCGTTCTTTTCTGGTACTAATAGGAATAGTTAATAGTCATTCGCTGGACTGTAATGTGTTTTGGACAAAATAAAATCCCCACCAGGGGGGCTTCGTCGTAGATTTGTTGACGCTATTGCAATATGTAAAGGTAGCCAGTAGAACACTATGAACTCACGATCACCAAAATAAACATAAAAGAACATGCAGACTTCACCATCAACACTGTGGAAATACGATTAAGCTGTTTGAACCAAGTAAGGTAGTGAAACTAGCCACATAAAATGATACATAGAACCAGAGAGACTCAAGTTATGTGTAAAAGGCCTTCATTGTGGTTTCTCAAAGCTGCATGAATCAATTGTTTAAAAATCAACATCAAATCCAAAGGACAGTGAAAGTGGTTTCTCACGACTTTAAAAGCATTTTAACAACGTCGTTATTTCTGACAACTTCTACACTTTTTCCACAATCTGAACAATTAATGTTAATCTTTTTGCCAGGCTTTTTTCTTGACTGAAACTATGTCACGTTTGTTAGCAAAAAGGTTTATACAAGAGTAGGAAAACAATGACAACATGCGCAGACAACATGCAGATAACTGAGAAACAACACGATGGGCTTGTATTGGTTTTGTACTGAAAGTACACCTTTGAGTAACCGTGTGGTAAGTTCTTACAGCCTAGTCCTCCCCGACACTGGCACCGTGTGTCCTGAACCAAAAACAGACCACGTTTTTCACAAAGATCTGATTGTGAAGCCGTAAACGTATCGGCGTGTAGTCCTGTGCAGTGCAAGGGGCTTCCTCGCCTAATTATGTGCATTTGGATTCTAATACACAGCTTGGTGCGGCAGACACATACATACACATTTCCATAGCAACTCCTTTTTGAGCATTGAGCCACTTTTGACTATAAGCTCCTCTTTAGTGACGCTACGTTTAACAGAGGAAATGTAAGTTTATTCGATAGTCAAAAAAGGTGTTGCTGCCTTTTCCTGTTATGCGAGGACGAAATGAATCACAACAGCAAACAAAAACCCACGGGGGGAATGTGGTATCTTACACATCTTCCAGTGGTTTTTACAAATGTATTCTCATTCTCACCTTTGCAGTCACTTCAAGAGAAAGAAAAAAAAGAAAAAAAACACGTACAAACAGATAACATGTCAAACACAGGGAGGAGAAAGTGCAAATATTTTGGCGCCGCTTCGTTTTCTTTTCATGTTTTTTCCGTTCACTTTCTTTTTTTTTTTCTTCTTTTTTTTGAAACCCAGGAAACTTTGTGATTTTTCGGCCCCATCTTTCTGGTTCCTGTCAGCGGGCGTACAGATGCCTTCCCTCTGTGCCCTCGTCTCAGCTTCTGGGTCCTTCTCTGCTCACACCAGACGACCTACTGGGAACACAAAGGCGATTAGAGTAAACACGGACTCACGTTTTAGTGTCCCTCGCCCGTAGCTGCTGCTACAACTTATTCCCATCAGCAGCCGAATCTACAGGATAGAGTCAGTGGTTACGAAGTGAAGCTGTCGACCGTTCACACCGTCACATGTGCGGACATTACGTGACGACCACATTCTCTCAAGATGTGCACGCGTGCATCGGTTCTGAAAGCGCTCTTGGGGAAGTCGGTGCTCTGCACGAGGGACGGGCCGCTCCCTCATCAATCAGATGAAGGGAGGGAGGGGGGGGGGGGAGGAGAGGCCTGGGAGAAAGAAAAGGAGATGGGTAAAGAGCGTAGATTGCTTACAGATGGCTGTCAAGATGGGAGCAGAGGTCCTCCAGAGCCTGTAAGACCTCAGCGCTGTGTGTGTGTGTGTGTGTGTGTGTGTGTGTGTGTGTGTGTGTGTGCGCACGCAGGTGCACATCTCCGTCACTGCTGGTTATGTCAGTGCATTCGGTTCAAAGTCAAATATTTTGGTTGAATTTGAAATGCACCACAACACGTGCGGCGCTACACGAATCCCCGATTAGCTTCCATCCGAGTTCCTTAGTGAGTCATTTCACCTTTTAAGTATAAAATAAATGTCACAGCCACAAATTTCTACCGAGTGGGATCCAGATGACGGTTTGCAGGCACAGCTTTCACTTTTTTACGGGACTAAAAGTCAGTTTCTGTTATGCTCTGTTCAAAAAACACAACAGTGAATCAACGTATATCCACCGAGTCCATCAAACAGTTCTTTATCTTACTTTTCAAACACAAACAGACAGAAAACGCAATGCACAGCATGACCAGCCACCAGTTGTTACAAACATTATGTTCAGAAAAAGTAATATAATATATATAATATACTCGATGAATGCGTGCCAGTATGACATTTACCGGCAAAGATACCGAAGCAATGCGGAGCTTTGACTCTCTCAGACCACAGTTGGCTATAAAGAGAAAAATGAAGTCACTGAGGACACGGTCTGTGCCATTAACACAAAGCCCGCCCAGCCTCTCCCTGGACACCTTGGCCCCACTTGTGATAAAGAGCTGAAAGCAGATCCCGCCTCACGGTGACTCGCCTCACCTGGGACCAGCTGGGAGTCACACTGTCCTGTCCATCCTGTACATGGTGGCAACTGGGGTGGGGGGGGCGACTTGGCCAGAGATAAACTGGAGCGAGTTTACCATCACACATCGCATCGAGTTAATGCGTAGCGCTGGTGAGCGGAGGCAATGGTCATCGGACGGTCCCTGTCCTCTCGGCTACTAATGCGGTAGTTTGTGGAGCTGATGTCACACTAATTAAAACACAAGTGCTGTTGGCTCTGAGAGGACGGGGCTCTGTGCTCCCTAATGGTCCTGCAGCCCCGGTGCCAGGCCTGCCTCATAATGCCCCCCTTTCATTCCCGGCCTAATGACAGACACAGCCAGGACGAGTGGGAGAGGAAGAGGAGGAGACGAGCGAGAAGACGGGATTGACAGTGTTCAATGCAAGCTTCACATAGTGAACAGAGCCGGGTCAGGTGAGGGCAGGCCCCGAAAGCGCTCTGGGACGTGGTGGCAAACAGGACTTGTGTTTCCTCTTAGTCTTCAGCGCTTGACGATGTCAAAACAGCTGTAATATTCATTCATCATAAATCCTTCTTTTCAATGACTGCTGTCCCTTTTCTTCCCGTCTCGCAAAACTCAAGTTGAATACCTCCCTCGAAGCCCGATAATTCAAACGGGAGCAGGACTTGCTCCTCCTGAAGATGTAGTAGATATCACATGTGCTCACACCCACATTGGAAAACCTTGGTGAGTGGGGGCCAAATTGGTCGGATATTACTGATATCACAGCAGCGCGCACCACATTTTTCCGAAAGAATTCTCCAAAACTCAACGAGAGCCGCTGCGTCCGATACATCAACCTCTGTGAAGGCCCACGACAACTCCCCTAATATCTCACGATCCCGAATTCCCATGTCTGTGTGCGTCTGTGTGCGTGCAAGTGTTAGCGCACGTGTTTGCACTTACTCAAAAGCATCTTTGTGTCTTTTGAACTAAGAGCTCTCAAACGTGGTCGTTGTGTCTTTGCTCGTTGCAGTGAGGGAGACACAACGCTTGGGCCTTTGGCCGTTGTCGACGTGTCGAGGGCGAGGAGCCGGACACAGATGTGCTCCCATCTGCCGCACGTGCTCCCAGACACTCGCCACAACACGTAGTGCGAACTGTAAATATGTCCAACAATTCTGATCCGAAGTTGCAGCAGAGCACAATAAGATTTAATGCCTGGCGTAAGCACGGCTTGACTTATTTAGGATTGGCTCGACGCGGCTGAACACAATGGCCGTCTATCTTCGTCGTTGCAGAATGCCGCCACATGTTCCCACAGACTCCGTCTCTACATACCTCACTCTCTCCACAGCCACCGCGAGCTCAGAGCGCCCGAGCGGCAGCACGAGGAGCCGCACGAAGCGGTCAGGCCGTTTGCCGCCAGCTCTCGAGCGTGAAGGTGAGAGATTTGTTGACCACAGGGAAAACGGCGGGCCGAGCCTCCTTCCCCCCGCTCCTGTTTACCCTGGCAGCGGAGCGCCGGGGTCCGAGAGGCCTGACGTTATGCCCGCGGCGAGCCAGCGCCAGGGTAAACGCATGACCTCAGCGCGATGTGGCGCTGAACCGGCTAGAGTCAACAGAATTAACGACAGCGGTAATTGCTAAACAGAGGAGGGGTGCGTCAAAACAGTGTTAGAGCTCCTCTAGCATCAATCAGAGGCCGTTTCCATTTTTGGACAATTTGGTTTTGTCAAAGCAGGGAGCAGACAACGATGTGGTAAAGGTCTGGAGCTGAAGCTAAAAAAAAAATAAACCTAGCTATTATAATAATAATGTTCACGGCAAACATCCCAGGCATCCTCTCACTGTACGTCAGCTTTTCAAATGTGATGATCTGCTGCTTTTGCTTTATCATATGATGAAAAGCACAATATATTTGGGGTCTGGACTGATTTAGCAAATTATAAAAGGGCATTATAGGTTTTCTTCATTTTACGGACAAAAGGATTTATTATAGGAGAAATTACTGAAGATAATTATGATTTGCGACTTTCTATCTTGAGATGGGATGTAATTGGTTTCTTATTGAACCATTCACTAAAAGATCATAAGTCACTGACTTTACTCAAAAACAGCTGTAGACGGATGCATTTCCCCAATAGGAATGTTAATGGATTACACAATAAGACAACTACAGTGCAGCACTCAAAGCCAGAGGCAGCCAGAGTTAGTGAAAGCGTATTAGTTTGCCTTACTGAACAATTTTGTCCCTTGCCTTGGGCCTTGGATGTCACTTGTTGTGGAGCTTCCTGCGAAAGAGAAACAAAACAACGGTCAATGATTGAACTTGATGGATTTGTTGTTGTTCAGTTACTAAGAAGGTCAAATATGCCATGAGAAGAAATAATTGTAGACCGTTTTGAATAAAGCGGAATAGTTGATTATTTATTAAACCTCATGAATCAGCACATCTACCCGCTGAACAAATCTGTCACTAGTTATTTTTCCTTTTATGAATGGATTTATGTTTTAGATCGGTGTTAAATCTGTTTTAAAACAGAGCATCTCTTTGACTACTCACACATTTCATTTGGATTGTAGCTGGCTGCAGCGTCTCACTGGGGGGGGGGGGGGGGTGCTTACTTAATGACCGGTTAGGACCAGTGTGTAGTAGCAGTGATGAGACGTGTCTGGATCCACTAATGCGTTATGGTCTAAACATCAGTCATATAGACCATATTTAGACTGCCCCCACATCTGTTAGTCACATGCGCTGCCGTTACCTCATGACGAAGTGACTAGTTAAAATCTGTCAAATGGAAACGGTTCTGTTTATTGTAGCTTACACTTGGCAATTAAAAACAAACAAACTTGGAAAATGTTAGCACAACCATGCACCTCTTCTTTCCCCCAAAAGCCCTCAACTTGACATGTTTCTCGAAGACAGTTCATTCGTTTGTTTGGTTTTTAAATTAAGGACCTGTTGAACAAAGGGCCTTCATTGTAAAAGGAGAAGAGGCTTGATTCTCCCATGCTGGGCTGAGGTTCACACCAGGGGCATGAACCTACTGCCTGACCCTGCCTCGCCACCCTCACCCCCGGGTTCCTCTTGCTCTCACCCTCCTTGCTGACGCCCAGGCAGCCTTTCAGCTCCTGCAGGGAAATGGCTCGGTCCTTGTTCAGGTCGCAGTAGTCGGTGAACTTGCGGGCGCATTTCTTGGGCTTGGCTTTCTTCTTCAGGTACCTCTTAAACGGCTTCAGTTCCTTCTTGTTGATGTCGTGGCTGCCATTGTTGTCCAGTTGGGCAAAGTACCAGTGCACCACCCGCTCCTCTAAAGTGTGGCTGGGATCAGGCTCAACAAACCTGGTTGGGATTAGAGACATGTGGGACCTAAAGTAGTGATGTTTCAAAGCAAAACATCTAAAATCTAGTTTAAAAGGCAGATACCCTTTTATAGTAATTTGCATAGCATTAATACACGGATAAAGGAACATATGTCCAAAAATAAAACTGGAAATATACAAGACAAATATAAATTTGACTCGGATTCTTAACATGCTGACATGCTGCCATTTCTAATGAAATCACATCATCTTTCATGCAAAAAGGATGTCGATCTGGATACCAGGGGCATGTTTTATGTCAGGGACTGAGTGTATTTCATTACAGCTCAGGACATTACGTTACAAATTCCACGTTGTAGAATACACCAACTTTAATCCCAGATGCCCTCAGGTCCCATCGGTACATAAAGTTCTAGCGTTGGCGAAAACTGAGCACAAACTCTGTTGATTCCTGTGCCAAGATCATTGCATGTCAGAGATAAAATATTAGCGGTCATTTCAGAAAAAACAGAGGAACGGATGATTTGAGAAAAGCCAGAAGAGGTGGAAGTTTTCCACAAATGATCTGCCATGAGGTATCCTGATCAGCCAACACTTCTTCAACTCTGCGTGACAATACTTAATTACTTACCTCCCGCCACCGGAGGGGGCTGGTGAGTTTATGGCTTGCACCATGTCTGTTGTGAGGGCATCCAACAGGCTCGTAATGAATTCCACTTTCTTCCCTTCTGGGCAGCCTGGCACAAATCAAAAGACAAGAATAAACCAGATTTACCTTCCAAGCGATTTGAGTCATTACGGCACAGCGAGGCCACTAAAGCCGCGAACACCAGCAAACCAGAATCCGTCAAATAAATAAAGCTCGTCCGCCCGACCAGGTGCATCTGTCTGTTCCCCATTACGGCTCAACCGGTGGAGGTGAGATACATAGTTTGGCTGTTCTGTAAGTGCTCAGGGAAGCAGAGCCCGGGCACATGGCGAGAGGCGGAACAGAAGTGTGCGGCCATGAGAGTTGTTTGGGGCACTGCAGACCCGTTAACTTTTATGACACAATTCGGAACACTTCTTTTTTTTTTAATTGCCCAGATGTAAGCTTTTAATAGCACGCTAAACCAGTGCAAATTTTTCCCTCCTAATTGTGTCTCTTAAAGGGAAACTTCAAACACAGCTGCATAGTAAACTAATCTTCTCATTTTGTTATTTGTTTTACCCTTCGTCTTTCACTCAAGCTTTCCCAGTCGGGACCCCCCCCCCCGTTCTCTGCTCTGTTCATGCTTTTTCGTTCCCTTTGTGTCGGATCAGTGGGTTTTGCGGGAGGTGGTCCGCTGCCGCCAGGTGAATCCAATTAGCATTTCCAGGAAATGAGCAGGTCTGAGAAGCCCTGCGTTGCTGTGCCTTAATCCAAGTGTTAAATTGGGGTGTTATGGAGCGCAAACCGTTGTGTTGTGTGACGGGCACGGCGTGCTGCGGGACCTGCAGAGGTGTTCGACAGATTGCTTATTTTAAAAGGTTTTAAAAAAGTTTAAAGTTGAATTCTGGCCCGGTTCAATATAGTGATTAAATAGAAATAGAGAATCAATTATTATGTAAGTCTGTGCTGTTTTAATCAATCATCAACCAAACACTGCAAACATTTGCCAGGTTGGGATCATGACATTTTATTACAGGCTCAAACTTAATTCTGGCGCCGTGTTCCTACTTTTCGACCGTCAGAAAAGGGAACTCTAAACTGTTTGAGCGCGCTGGGTTTACCAATTTAACATTTTCTCTCTTTATTAACTGATGCCAAAGCAGCTGGTTTAATCTACATTCAACCCCTGGTAAAACAGGAGCGCCGGCCGGACACACGCTCAGCTCTGTTTGCATTGCTGCATTCGATCTTCCTCTTGTGTCACCGACCCCTTTTAGGTTTTAAACATAAATGTGCTTACTGCATCAAAGCTTTTTGACTTTGTCAGGAGCCTCTACTAAAAATGAGACGTTTCTTTTTCACTAAATTATAAAATGTTCTGTTTGAAATTATGACCTTTGTGTTATTCGGGCGGGTTTTGACCCAGTTATACAAATAAGGTGAAGCAATAATTAGACCGAAAACTAAAATCACACTCCGAGTCAGCTACTCCCATCATGTGAGCTTTAGGAGATTCTCATTTTGACTTTTTATCCAGTATACCTGCACAAAAACAAAACTAACACAGACGGGCAAGTTCAGACATCTGAGCTCAGTTTCAGTTTTTTTTCTAATTGAAATCGAGGGGTATACTGACTAGGAAAAGGCCCAGAGGCCCAAACCAAAAATATTAAAATCAATATAAATGCATAAGGAAGCCTAACAAGGTAACCAAGAGTTGAGCAACGAATTGGATGATGGATATTTGTTTTCAGTGTATTTTACAGCTGATTTAAGAAATGTTAACATAAGAGATGGTAACAGAACGCTCCCACAGGAGGAAGGTTCAGCACAGCTACGCCGGTATGAATGCAGAACTACATTTATTGTTGATAGTCTAGTTGACGTTGAACAAAAAAACAAACCACTTCCTGAACCGATTGAAGCTATCAGATCCCAACCGTTGGTCTTAAGGGAAGCGCTCCAACGACCCCCCATATCCTCTGCCCACCTTGCTCATAGGCTGCCCGCTTTCACATTCTCCTGTCTTCTTGCCTCGGAGTGACGACCATCGCCGCTTTGTTGTGGCGGTTCAGAACATCCCTCTACAGTACATAAAAGTATCTCCACTCAGCACCCCGTGGTCTCCCAACACCCCCAGCAGCCCCCACACAGCCCCACCAGCCCACCACGCAACACTGGCACCTTCCATAAAACATGCCCTACATCTGCTGCACAGTCAGGAGTCATGCTTGACTCTGTAAACTCACCAGATGGGGAATTAAACAAGCGTTACAATGCAACCTGAAATGAAGGGAAAACACAAGCTGATGTGAGTTAGCTGTAACGTGGGCAGAGGAGTTTGAGCCGAGGTTACGACCTCTGGTTTAGAGCAGACTCTGATCTTTGCCGCCAGGGAATCCAACAGCACAAAGTGTGCTTTAGACCATTCTTAATCTAAACCCTCCATCAGGTCATCTAGTGTGAAGGAGAAAAAGGATTTCCATGTCTCCGAGCTATAATGCTGTCAATAGATATTTTGACTGAACCCAGCAGGTCAAGCGTTTCCTCAAATGCTGAGGTGGATTGCGTGGCGCCGTACTAAGAGCTGTACGTATCTTTCCTCCTTAAAGCACTCCCCAAATAAGAAATACTGAGGAAAAAGTGTTCAACGTCAGCTTCAAAAGTCAGCCTGTCAATACCTAAAATAGTCAGCCGAGCGGTAATTCCAGAGCGGAGGAGATTCCATATCACACGAGGTCATAGCCAAGCTACCAGCTCCGTTAAACCAGCGCCTCCCCTGCATGTGCTGGAAGCTTTCAGGGTCTCAGGGTAACATTGGCAGCTCTGTAACGCTGTTCGTTGGATTTGGAAGACGTTTACGCTCCAGCCACTTCAGCCAAAACGGTTATCCGATATAGCTGCACAGATGCCAAACGCGTCCACGTCTTTAAAAAACAGAGATGTAACTAAAAGCCCAGCAAGGTTAGCTATGAACCAGAAACTGCTTCGGTCCCCAATTGCTCAAAAAAACGCAAAACTTGTATGATTATAGAACTACATGTATCATATGGCATATGAGACCCAAGCATTCGTTACTAAAGAGCGTTGGACTTTGCAAACGATCCAGGAATGTTAACTAAACTGCCACGCAGTGAAAAGTGTAAATTAAACCTGTCAGGTCTCTGGCTTGGAAGGGATCTTCGGTGTCCGAGATGCGAGATCGCGCAGCGCCGTCACACTCTGGCGTCTGGTACCTGTTACACGGAGACAAGAGGACAGCGGGGACAGATGAAGGAAAGAACAGACCGGTCTCAGCAATGTGGGATCAGCGGGAAACAATTTGAAAAAAAACAAAGGATTATCTTCTTCAGGCCTGAGAACAATCTGAGCTGCGGCTGATAACCAGGAGGCATTATGGGTGCAGCAGAGATATCTGTCCATCCTCATCCTCTTCTCAGCATGGCTCTGTACTCAGGTACGCTGGTGTGCCTTCATAAGACGACTCTACAACCTATTCCTGTTTAACCTGCACATTCACTGTTGATCTGCAAATCATTATTGACACTGATTGGCTTCTTTAAAAGTGATTTGACGTGACGTCATAACAAACCGCTCGGCATTGTGCGTGGCATGACTCGTTTTCTCCTGGCCGTTGTATCAGTGGCTCTTGCGACATGTAGAATGGAAAATTGAGCATGTGTGTCTCATTTGCCTTTTTAGAAGCAAGTTGTTGTTTCTTTTTTTCGGTGTGCAGAGCCACAGATCCAAGGAGGGATGTCTGATGCATGAAAATGCACATTGCTGTCAGAAGAGTGACATGAGGTCTAGACCAAAAAGTAAAGAAACGTTATTTAAAGAAACGGTCGACTCGAGGTTGTCATGCAGTAGCTCCGAAATGCAGATGTAAATTCAATCTGTGTATGGGATTTATTTTATTTTTAATGCAGCTGTCAATGATATATTTCTTTTATTTATTCATTGTTTTGAAACTAAACCTGCGTTGTCCATTATTCAGCCTGCAGTGACACCACTAACTCCTCCTGTAAAACAGTAGTGAGAGATGACGCCTCATCTCTTTACGGCTGCTTGCCGTAAAGTTTTTACAACATTCCATCCCGTTCCCCTTATCCCGCTCACTTTTTAAGTTCACGCTTCACTCATGAAAGGTTTTAAAAATGACATTGCCTCTTTTCCCACCAGGGGTTAAGGTTATGAAATATATTAACAGCTATTTGAGACTTGTTATTTTTCACAGAATTGAATTGTCCTCTGTGGGTTAACTCTACTAACTTTGGAGATTGATTTTAGTTATACATAAGACGCATTGGGTATTAAAAGTAATAATATTCCCATCAACTTCAGCAGTAACTATGGTCACCATGTATTGTGAGCATGTTAGCATTCTGATGTTAGCCTTTAGCCTGGAGAAACATGCTTCAGTAAAGCCTCATGGAGCATAGACTTGAAGAATCATTAAATTTAAATAATTTACTGAACGTATTAATGAATGTAGTAACCACACTTTAAGTATTTAGTCTTTCTTGCTTTAAGTCCGGGTGAAGTGATCTTCTACCTGGTGGATGTTGCGGGAATCGGCCGTCCCGTGTCCACCAGAACACACCAGCAGTAGCCTGTGGACTGGTGGCACTGGACCGGCTTGTAAAGGCCCGCGGCCCCGCAGTCGGGGATGAAAATGGCCTCGCGAGGATTCTGCCGAGCCTCGTCCAGCGCACTCTGTCGCTCCTGGTCACAAGAGGGAACTTTCTCTAAAACCATGAGAAACACACTCAATACAGAGGCACCACAATCGGGAAACCAGAAACACACAAAAACATAGAGCAGATGTCACTGGCCAACAAGGCTATTTGCACCCACCTCGGGCACATAGTGTACGCATGTATGTTGGCTGTGTATAGTCTTACTCTAGTTTCCAAAATCAAAACGGAAAATAGTATTGGAGGAATATAAAATAAGTCTACTACTTGTTGAGAGTTGAAAACTCAGTTTGACACATTCATCTATCTACCTGAACCTGCTTCCTGCACATCGTATGAATTGATCTCTAGGTTGTACTTTGTGAAAGTCACTATTTAGAGCTTGAAGGAGCCAAATGTTGCAACTCCAATCTTCAAACTTTGATTGGGATTGGCCAGCTAAGTATTGGTAAAAGGTGCATTAAATAACATGTGTCTTTCTTCGGGTCACTTTATAGAGCAACTGAAGCATATTCAGGGCTTTCTGTAGGCCAACCGACTGTCAGTCATCATTCACTTTGTTTCTCAAACGATATTAAATGTGGGTGTGAAGGGTATTAGAAGCATGCATGTTAGTTGCCTTGGGAATAGAATTTGAAAAAAAAAAACTGTGAAAATCTGTGAATACTCATGAAGCTCCATCTGCTGACCTATACTGTGGGATGTGGTGAAATGGGTGAATCTTAATAGAAGATTTCCAAAACAGTAACCCAGTGTTATGTCAGAAAGGCTGCAATCCACCACTCGTGTACCACGGACACAAGAAAACCCTAACAAGCTGTATTAAATACTCCGTGTACAGCGTCATGTCCGACTAACCCTTCCATCAAACCTCTGGTTGTACCGGGAGACGCTCCTGCAGCACCGCGTACCACCACACGGTGTTTACATTCACATCCATTTAGCCCATCGCTCACTCTTGAACCAAGTTCAACAGAGCTGCATGCTGAACCTGTTACCACGGCGACGAAGTGTGCTTTTACTGCTCCTCAAGCCATTCTTCACTTTGCCTTCAAGTGCTCTACAAAGCATCGAGCCACACTAGGAGGGTCACAGAAAGCGTCCCGGGCCTGTTCTTCAGGGTGGTGTTTTCACATCGTGGAGCTCATTGGAGCCATTAACAGCCGTCTGTGCCGGTAGCTCACACAGTTCCAGTAACCCGCTTGTTTTCTGGCTGAAAACAGTTGCCAGCAGCCTGGTTAATATCCACAGCAAGAAAGCAACTAAGAATTTGAACTAAAAGGCCATATCGTATGATAAAGCAAGCCTTCGCTGTGTGCACAGACGGAGACCCTGTGGCCGACACAATCGGAAAGTGAAAGCAAACCAAATCGATGGGGTCATTATTCTGAAGCCTTTCAGTGTGAAATCCACGTTTACTTTACCAAAGTGGGGTCAAACTTGTCTTTTGCCACTTATACAATGAATCAAATGACTACGTGTGTACGGGTCCATCGTAGTGAGAAACTCGCTGGAAATTATCGCCCAAATCCTCAAAAGTTCCTTTGGGAGTTTTAAGGTTATTGTCGTTTTACGGCAGGTTTAGTTTGACCAATTACAAGGCGTAGATATTCAGAAAGTAGAACATCCAGCAGCTCAAGAGCCAGATCATGTTGATATTCGTAGTTGCTGAGGACCAAAAACAGAACTAACATGTGTATATAAATGCAGCAAAAAACAAGAGGGCAGATCTATTCTGGGTTGTTCTACAGCAGGTAACTCGGCTTTCTGGGTCTAATTAGCAAGCACTGAGGAATGTGTTGCTTCAGTACTTTCACCCTCAAAAATAATTGAACATCCGCATAAAAGAAGGAACGTTTCCCCTGAAATGTGCTGTGTAGTTTTGTAGTTACATCCGCATATTAAATAGTTTAAAATAAAACTCATTTATAATTGTCAGGGTAATAATCGACATTCAGCATCTTTATCATCCTTAATAAATAGAAGGGGGATGTTGGTGTTGCTGCTCGTGTGCGTGTGCGTCTGTGTGTGAGTGTTTTCCTGAGCATTGCTGCCAACAGAGAACTAAACGTGTGCCTTTACACTGAAGACGTTTCTCTCCTGTGAAGACTCACACTCAAGTGTTCTAAGCGCTGCGGCTCTGCTCCTCGCCAAGGTTCCTTCACATCCAAATTATTTAGCAGTGTTTATTATACAGAGGTTATGCTGGCGCCAGACGCTAGGAAACCCAAAAGAAAATTGTTTTCATACATATAAATGGAAAGTGGCTGGACGCAGGCGATGTTGTCCTCTCAGTTTTGTGTGGAGTTGAAATTGAATCTGCGTTTTCTCTGCCTGCCTCGGATAGCCGCATTTGTGTTGTATTTATTTATTTTATTTTGATTATTTTTCAATTCTATTTCTCTGCGCCTGGCAGGAAACGAAGGATTAGAAACACAAACCCTCAGAAAACAAGTATTATGTAAAAAGGAAGAAAAAAAAAGGAACACACACAAGTGGACGTCAGCAACTGTTTGCTGGTTCTTGTGGTAATTTCTTCTTCAGGGCGAAGTGATAATGGACCAAAGACGAACATCTGCAGGACCTTTGACGAGATCACCCTTTGGCCCAGACTCCAAACAAAGCGCAGCTATTTTGTCTTTATTATACACTTCCTCCCACGTCTCTCCTGCCTTGAGTTTCTTTTTCTTTCTCTCTGCTTCTCTTAATCCTCATACCTCCCCCCCTGACTCCCCCCACTGCCCTCTCCTCTTCACTTCACCCCAATAGCTTTCAGCTGTGGGCTAATCACTGCAATATTGTCTATAGCAAGCGCTGCCTGCAGTTCGAATAGCGGAAGCATTAGTAATGGGGGAACTGTGTGAGTAGGTATGCAGGTACACGAGCCAGAGATGATGGAGACGTTTCGGCACATCGTTGGTCGGCTCGTTCGCTGCCGTAAGAAGCGGAAGCGCTCGCGCCGCCATAAACCACGCACGCAGATATCGTTTAAATACAGCCTTGAGATTTTTATCCTAACTCATGTTCTTGGATAACGCGATCGGACTACTTCCCGTCAACATTTGGTTTTTATTTTCTTTGCCTCACCGCATGGTGTGTGTGTGTGGGGGGTGTAAGTGGTTAGTTTTTTCTTTTTTCTTTTTTGTTCGCTCCACACTTTTATAAATGAGCTGCACAACAGTCTGGCAACCAAGCATCGATTTTGAAAAGGGATCTTTGCTTCACTCGAACAGCATATCGCTCTTGATCCTAATTATGGGGTGTCCAGAAATCCAGTGAAGGAATACGGTAGTTGATGTGAATGAAAGGGAGACTCAGGGTTTCCAGTGTGTGAGGAGAAAAAGGCTCTAAACATTGACGGTTTGCTGCACCAAACATTGCAAACAGTTCCAAGCAGGGAAGGTCACATTTTGGGATTAGAATGTTTTCAAATGCAAAGAAAGAACCAGGTTAGGGAGAGAATAATGAGGTTTTTAAATAAGTCTTTGAAATAACTGCTGTAATGACGTTAACTATCAAGAGGGCATATTTTAAAAAGTAAACGAACGTCCCAACTGTTGCTGCCAAACTCTGAATACGGACATTTGCATGCACACACATTCTTTCACAAACACACATACACACTATGTCCTTTTGAAACACACACCAAAAATCACACACACACACACACAGTGTGCAATCACACACAGGACACACACGGCGCTCATGTCTCTCTCAGACGCGATGACACGTCCTCTGCAGCCTCTCGGCCTTGCTGCTCGTACTCGCAGGACACTGGATGCTAATTGGAAACAGGAAGCTGTTTTTTCCCACAGAGGTTTTAAAGAGCTGTCACAGAGAATCGCTCTCACCTACGATACATTCTTTAAAGCTGCCCAAAAACAAATTAGACCAAAGGAAAGAAAACAAACACCGGGAATACGTCACCTCAAAGTTTACGAGATCAATACGGGGTAATTTATTAATGCTAAAAACATGACATTTGAGTGGGCGGTTTATCAGTGACGTGTTGAGGCTCTATTTCTATGCTACGGCGTTGCCTGATTGTTCTGAACTGTTTTTAAGTGTGATTAAGTGTTTCATATTCATAAAGCCCTTATAAAAATAAAGGTCTCAGAATGGTGAGTTTCTTTGTCTCACCTTGCTTTCTTGAAGAGGAGCTGTTCTGCTTATTGTCCTTATAAACCAGCTGTTTTATCCACAGCGTTGGGGCGGTTATTTCTGCGATGACAGGAGGACAGAGCACAGATCAATAGAATCCATAACGTCAGATGATTGTCAAAGAAATATTCAGCCCTGACCCGCCAGCACCAGCAGCGTACTTCAAACACTTTAACAGCCAAACTTTGCCCACAAACTTAAAAATTGAAATTGCAGTCGAGATCCCAGCACTTCCAAAAATATCAAATATGTCATCTGTTATTTTCAACACTTGGGAGTTTTCCGTTGAATACAATGGTGCATTCTTAGGAAACGGCGTCTTCGGTTTGAATATTAATACTCCTGACACACTGCAGCTTCGCTGAGGCGTCGGAACAATCTGAGAACCAACCGGTTTCCAGCACACAAAAGAGACCTTGTGAGTCGCGTCGCCATGGAAACATTCTCTGCACCTGGAGGGAGGATCTTAGCACAGGTGGAGGGGGAACAACAGGAGCCTTACCGTCACCCTCGGGGGGGACGTGAGTCTCCATGGTGGGCGTGGGCTTGGAGCCATCATCTGGGTTGAGAGTGAGAAAGAAACGGAAGGAGACTACCATTATTGAGGTTAATACAATCTACTCTCCAGAACTGTTGAATGGTTGGGATTTGCACATGGCCCGGCCAAGACAGATAGAGACGCAGACGGAGAGAAAGACAGAGAAGCAATCACAAACATGTGGCTCCACATCGCTCACACACACACACAGGAATCCACTTCTCACACCAACATGATCAGGCTGCCCATCACAATCGCCATGTAAACCACACACACGCACACACACACACCCATACGCGCACACACACACACACACACGAGGACCCGCATGAACGCAGCGCAGGTGTCGCTCACTCACAACTAATCTGAACACTAAGGTGGACGGACTCCTGGTCTGAGATAAGAGGACTTCAGATGTTGATTCGCTGAGTCGGTCTGCTTGATATCGCTCATCCGGTGTATGTGGTCACGTTGGGCCATAATGCAGGTCGTCTCCACTTGATTCCACTTTGCCAAAATTTGTTCTGGATATTCATGTTGTTCAAAAATAAGACTATTTGGGGTTTTCCCACTGACAATCAGCCATTTGTTCAGTAGAAATATGAAAACATTACTTTCCCCAAGCGGGTAAACACTTAAGGATGTGATTACCTCGTGGTCTCTCCCCGAGCATCACCCTCACGATTGTCATGATCTTTCATTTGGAGTCTCAATGACCATCATATTGTAATACAACGCTATTGACAAGCAACGGCCACTATGTGCACGTTTTTTTGCATATTTACACTGTGATACAAACGGCAGAAGCGTGATGAGGTGCAGAGCGTCAAGGGAGGAAAATACTGCACTGATTACTGTCCCTTTTTCACCCAGCCGTGGGCCGTGACCAAAACCGACCGCCCCGTCTCTCGCCTCGCGCTGCCGCCTCCCCGTCATCCAGAGCTAACCCAATGTGCACATTCTGTATCATAGCAACTAAAGTGTGTACTTTCATTCCCAGTTTTCTTAAACAAAGGGTGCCTTGGGTAGACAAGGTCGACGTCCTAAACGTCCTAAACATCACGGTGTAATTGTGCGGTGTAGCACAGAGTCAAAGTCAGTGTTCTATTTGGGGAATTGATAAGTTGTAATGGATCTTAGATGATGCTGTAAATTCAGTTTCCTAGAATACTCACCCATGTGCAGTGCTGTAGCATCTGGAAAGTTCCTTTGGGAATAATGCGATCAAAAGCAAACCACAGACAACTGGAGTCATTCTACAAACACTAAAGTCCTTGAATCAGACGGCTTGTACGCATATTGGAACAAATGAGGACAAACTGACCTGATCTGGTCAAACTGTAAATAATAAAATAGCTACAGCGTTGATCTCAGTCAGGTGAGACCTCGGGTCAGAAATAAGCACCGCCGCTTACTTTATTCCCTTTTGACTCATTTTTTACACTCCAGTGTGGACTGAGCTGCATGTGGAAACAAATTCTGTAACTTACAGTATTTGTCAATTACTGTTTGATCCAGGTCTGGACTGTGAGCTACAGACTGCTAGGGGGAAAGAAACACAATTAATGGAAGCATCGACAGCAAACCCTAAACAACCTGTATTAAATAACCTCCGGGTTCAGAAACAATTCAAGTGCTTAATAGTAAAGAAACTGTTGCAGTTTCAGCAACAGATCCCATTTGAAGGAAGACTAGAAGACTAGAGCAAAACCACTGTTTCACAAATACACTGCTGTCTGCAACATGCTTACAAAACACTAGTTTGAAGATGTATTATTTAAATATAAAGAACATTTAAATCCAAATACTTGTGCGTGTGAAAGTGAAACATCAGTCATGTATTTTTCTGCTCTGCGCAAACACGGACTTTGCACGGATCAGACAGAACCAAACCAGGTCAAAAGACATTTTGAACTCTTTGTCTCGCTCAAATGGAAACACTCACATGCATGTGCACACAAAAACACACGCAAAACTTACAGCCGATCCCAACTCACCTTTTCTACCAGGGTTCGGTGGCCCGGGTGGTCTGTCGGTTACTGACCCTGTGAAGACAAGAGTAAAAAAAACATGACAGGTACAGAGCAAAGACTAGGAGGCAGCGCCAACTCCTGTGGGACATTTCAAGAGTCTGATTCCAAAACGCCGTCTGTCCATTTTATCAGCAGTGAGAAACACAAAATGTACACAGATCGAATTTTAAGTTAATTATTCAGCAAAAGCTTGAGTCAATCTTATCATTTTGAAAAAACACTGACACCTTAACTTAGTTTGAGAAGGTTTGATAATTATATTCTGTTAGTACTTGATAGCAGGAGCACATTGAAACATTAGGCGATTTGCATTATTTGAATGATGACTAATGCAAACCCGTGTGATCTGCGCCGTCTGTGCATATGCAGTTCAATTCAGAAGTACATTTGCAGATTGAAATACGGTTTGGTGCATGCAAGTAGTCGCGCATGCAGAGATGCATGAGGGAAAAGAGCTCAAGAGTCCAGAGTGGAGGCATTTCGAGTCAAGGCAACTGGAAGGAAATGTACTACCTGACAATCCACTTGTCCCAGCATGAGTTCCCATAAATTCACGGAAGTTTCCTGCAAATGTATGTGAGATGATTGATTTGGGTCATAGTTTACGGGGGCAGGTACATTTGGAGCAGCTGGATTCGGTTTTAGGTTTACTGTATACCAGATTCTGGTCCCAGTGTCATACATACCTTTGCAAGAAACAATGAACATATTGGATCTTATGGAGGACAAAAAAGGAGACCGGTAGAGACACTGTTGTTCCTTAAACTACCTTTAAGAATTTGATCAACTTTATTTAGACCTGGACCTGGTCTCATTTAAGAAGCTCGAAACAATAGACTGTTAATGTTTTTGCTCGAAAAACAAAAAAAAGATGAATCGACTAAATGCTCAGACAGAGTTACATTTTCAGACCAAAACAATTACATTACATAACCAAAGCCATCACTGGGTACATTTACAGAGAAGTAAATCTGCTTTGCCATGTAGTTCCAATCTGGTCCCTATTCTTTTTTTCTTTACAGAGGTGACTTTTGAGGCAAAGGAGAGCGATAGAAGCTTGGAAGAAGACAATGAATGAACTGTGGTAACTGACGGAAGAGTAAGGATTGATGAATCCTCCAGCTGGTTCATGTGGACAAACAGCTGAAACAACGGGGCCACTTCCATAACGATTTGATACACTAGAATTTCTCTTTTTTTTAACCTTGTATCCAAAGGATTTTTTTTTTTTAAATCCATGAGCATATAATCAACAAGCCTGGCTCTTTTTATTTTTACCAAATACACATTCGGGTCCTGTGGTGCACAGAAGAGTCATTCTCTAGCTGCACAATGAATTGTTTCATCCCATAAAAAGCTTTGTTTGCTGCAGAAACACGACATAACTTGAGATTGACTCTGAACCTGCGCTCGGCCTCAGCACAGTAGGCTTTTGTACGTGGCAGAAGTGGTTTCCCGTCCGAATGGATACGCGACCATGCTCCATTTACTGATCCCACTGAAAGGACTGCGACTCAGCAGGTGCCAAGGGAAACCATACTGGTGATTAGTGGCACAGGTGGGGAAATGCAGAGAAAGGAAGGCAGACAGGGGGGAGATGAGGAAAAAGCCAGGGCGGGAAGCCTCGGGCGCTCTGCTGAGCTGCTTCAGAGGGGCATGCGACCGCTCTCACCGCACTCTCCACACTAAATTTGCACCATATGCTCCAGTGGTCTGTGCAATCCAGTTCTGGCAAAGACCCATGTGTATTATCTTCTGAGGGAAAATGATGGTGATTATCATAAAGTGTTCCCATCCAGGATGAGTGTTCAGCGCGCGGCTCCCTCTCCACTGGCCTGCTGAGGGCAGGATGAATGATTTGTGCCCATTAGCCTTTCTCGTTGTCCCTGCACCTGCTGTATGCCACGAGACATGCAATACAGATGTGCCCACCCGATGAAAAAAAAAGACACACCCGCTTTAGCTGTAACGCACAGGCCTGAGCGTGCAAATGTGCTGCAGCCATCCTGAACCTTTAGTTCGATAAAGCACTACGAATGAACTATTTCTGCTTCAACTGTGTCAAAAAACTCCAGTTCCTAAAGTGACTGAGAGATAATTGGCTCAAACCTCGGTGGCTTTGCTTCCAGAGACTCCCGGCTGCCGAGATCTTACATACACCATTGAAAGAATTTCTATGCCCGTTATGCTGCCTCTCCACCCTAATAAAGAACATCCAACCATTCCACGGGACTTTAAGTCACACAACCTGTTAGACGTTACCGTTGAAGTTACACTAATCACTAATAAGCGATGCAGGACGGATGCAAGCTGCGCTGCCAATGAGATTCTCACAAAAAAGACATTTTGTCCACAGGCCGAGGGGCTCGTTTTCCCCCCTCTTCCCCCAGTACCTGAACACACCGGAGTCCTGTTGTGCACCGAGGAGCCACTCACTGGCTTGCCGTCACTGGTGACACACCAGCAGTAACCTGTCAGAGTGTGGCACTGGACCTGCAGAGGCAGAAAAAAAGAAGGTGAATCGCACCAATAGCGTCGTAATGTGCATGATGCGGTTGGTGCGGTTAAATACGCCGACCAAATCACCCACATTATGAGCAACAATAGAAGATTTCACGGGAAAGTCTTGAGAAAAGGATAACGGGGAAGAAATCAGAATCAGAATCATTATCAGAAGCCATTTATTGCCATATATGTTACACATAGAGGACTTTGACTTGGTGCATTGGTGCGATATGAGAATAAAATATAAGAATAAAATAAGATAAAGTTAAATAAGATATGCATGTTTGTCCATATGTTTCCTTGCTGAGAGAAACCACTGGGATGAAGCATTTGGGTCAATGTGTGGTTGTGGCACGACGAACCTGCGTGAACGTCCCATCGTCGTTGCATTCTGGGATAAACAGGGCCTCCTGAGGTCTCCTGGCTTGTTCCAGGGCCTGGTTCCTCTCGACGCGACACTTGGACTGACCTGCATCTGTAACAGATTAACAGGACAGCCGGCTCTCACACACCGAGTACACACGGCGCTGCTGTTGTGTTGTCTGTTTTTTTTTCTGAAGACGTGTGTTCTGTGTCAACAACACCCCGTTCACGCCGGGCAGGAGCTGAGCGCTGCGAGCGCTTCACTGACTGGACGCTTGAGTGCCTTGCTCGAGGACACCTTTTCATGGACATAAAGGGAGAAGAGCGTTGGTTATTATTTCTCCGTCCAAACCACCTGGTCAGTGCGTCATGGACTCCACGCTGATATTTAGAGATGTGGGTGGAAACGGAGTGACTGACTGCGTTGCTGCTCTCAGGAGACACGGATGGAAGTGGCAGAAAGGTCGGAGACAGAAGTGGGCTCCGAACCAGCTGGTCGCCGGCTCAAAAACCCGTCAGCAACTACTGTTTTTATTGCACTCTCAGCTCCCGTGGAGTTGAGCTACATGGTCGACTGTTTGTGTGTGCGCACACACACACACACACACACACACACACCAACCAGGAAAGTTTTATTAAAAACGTGTCTCTGGACCAGAAAGGAGACAGACATGTTGTCTCCTCCAAAGTCAAAAACTGGCAGAGACAGAACTGGCTGCTGAGGTCCCCGAAAAGGACGGACCAGAAATGTATAATGTGGCCTTGGAGTGAGAGTACATCTAATCCTAATTTAGAGAGAAACGTATTAAACAAACAGAATCAGTCCAATGTCCTACTGAAGACCCCAACAAATCACTCATACTAGTCCGTAACTAAAAGTTGTGAAAAGGCAGAAATAACAGCACATCCAAAGGCGTATGTTGTTACAAGAGTTTGATCGTGCGCCAAACACGTGCTACATGAAAAAAACCTGGCTTTCTAATTCCTTTGTTTGCAAGGAGGAACTTTTTGACGATGATTGACAGCGAAACACCGAACAAGCAGGCAAGCCGTTACCTGATTTATACCTTTTATAGTCAAAGTGATCAGCCGTGTTTGATCTGAATCCCACGCACACCTCAGAAGGCCTTTGCCAGGCGTTGCCAAGGGGGGGGTGAGGGGCTGTTAATGAACTGCCTGCTTAAATAAATCAGCCGTTCCACTGCAACAAAACAGGTTTACTGCACTTACGGAGACTTGGTGAGCTTTGCCCAGCTCTGCTTTCCCTGGCACGTCGTTTATTATGAAACCAAAACACGTATTAGCATACAGGCGACGCGAGATTCCCTCCAGAAATGGATTTGTTGGGGAATGTTGTTTTCTTAATACAAGAATTGGGGCTGACGAAAAGGGAGGAAATGCCAAGTTCCAACCTTGACTCCGGACCTATCAATCTCTGAGGCCGTTGGGCGGCTGGCATCCAGAGAGCGAGGAAGTGTGTGATCCTGGTCTGTAAAAACGTACACGCCTGCAGCCCGGGCGGAAAATGAAAGACATCTTCAGTTAAGTTCCTCGTCTGACATCTTCTACTTTTCCGTCTTGGTTTTTGCTCAGAGCTGTAACAGCTTTCGTTTCAAGTGAAACGGTGCATTCCCGCGTGCAGTATGAAGTCTGTGATTTAGTGCTGCCGCTGAGTCTTTGCTACAGAGGACAAGTCATAACATTTGAGCTCCATCCTCCATCTGGTCCCGTTGGTGAAATTCAAAGGGCGTTTAGCGGCCTTACCTTTCAGCTCCACGTCCCCAGTCTCGGACGTGGAAGTTGGTGCCGGAGCCGGCGGCAACTGATCGATTTTCACCCAATTTTTACCTGAAACAGAAAAGTCACTTGCGGCTTTGTGGAGTCTTGGCACGGTTAAGGGAGGGCAGCATGCGACTGGATCAAATATCAAAGCCTGTTAGGCAGATTTTCTGGGGAAAGCTTTCTGGCGGCCATGGAGGCAGAAATGGGCGATAGAAGAAAAATCGTATCCATCCAAATTTGAAGAGCAGAATACATATTTTATCTCTCAAAGTTAAACTACTGTCAAGGAGTGCCGCATCTGTTACCACAGACAGTTTGGGGAAATCCTGGTCAGTGCATTAATGAGAACTAAAACTTCCAGTGCCAAGTGCTGACAAGAACCGTGGAAGTAAGACAAACAGTGTGCAAGCATGCGCGTCATGAAACGCTCTCTGGTTCCTGGCATGAGAGAGTCACGGATGACTAATCGGAGTTTCTGTCCGCGGGTGGAACCCCGGGGGTTGAATCCTCACCTCGACAGCGGCCGCGGTGGGCCAGCGCCAGCGCTCTGTCTTTGCAGCGCGCCCTCTGCAGCTCGCAGCCCGTCTCGTAGCTGCGGCCGTCCGAGCCGCACACCGGCTTGCCCTGTGTCCGAGAGCAGATGACCCCGCAGTGACTGTCCCTGTCGCCGATCAGCCACTGCGCCGAGGAATACAGCAACGTGTTAGAAATGACATATTTAACCTCACTTTTTTTTTTTTTTCTTTTCACCTGACAGTTGACGTCCGAAACACATTGAGCCGTTTTCTCGCTCCGCGAGGAACTGCTTTCCTTTTGGCTCCTTTTGCGTTCTTTCTAGTTATACTGTTCGTGAACAAAGGCTGTATTCAGCGGAATCTGAAATTATGCCAAACTAACGTGCAAAATTGGACACGTGGTTCACTTCCACAGCACTCGGCGGCAGCTGCCTTTCTTTGTTTAGGCTACTGTGACGAGGGTGCGAGCGGCTCTGCTCCGTCCTCCACCTAAAGGCTTGTTTATCTAATTAAACTTTGGCTGAAGACGGTTCGAACCTCTATTAGGTTTCAAAAGACCCAAACCATATTCAGAGCAATGGGAGTCCTTCTCCCCCCCCGTCCCGTCTCCCCTCGGGTCTCTCATGATCTATTAGTGAGCCGGTTCTACTCCGCCGCTGGAAGTCGGCCTCTTCTCTGACAGCAGTAATGGTTCTTGGCTTTGCAGCCGCCTCAAATATATTGAAGGTCTGAAGGATTTCAAGGGGGAGCACAAACTTTAGCAGGAAGATGGAGTTGTGGGTTAGTGAGGAGAGCGAGAGAGAGAGCGAGGAGGCGTGCAGTGAGGAGCACCAGAGTCCTCTGCAGGGAAACAGTGTGCCAGCAGCTTTGTGTTTCTACTGTTATATGAAATAACACCAGGAGCTCTTGATTAGATCTGGATTCCTCACACTCAATGATAGCGTGTTGAGGCTGTTTCATAAAAGACCAAAATAAAGGAACAGAAATTGAGCAATTCTCAAGAAAACGCCGTCTTCACCCACGGCCCCCTCAAAGTAAACAGCGTTGAGTTTGTTGGGGCTCTCGATCCGACGCAGCAGATCTCATTAGGGGAGGTATGGAGGGAAGAAGGTGATGGAAAATGAAACGCAGCCAGAGACGAAAAAAGCCCAGTTTCTATCCTCACTTGCCAACTCCTATCGGACAATCTTTTCAAAAAAGCGATCCACAGTCCAAGTGCATGTGCGGAGCTTGCATGCATGCAACCACAACTTTCACTCTGCCTCTCCCTCCTCATCACGATGCCCGACTGTATTTTGAACAACATTGAAATTGTTGCCTGGAGACAGATTTTCTCCAAACATATTAAGGGCAATCAGACAGACCTGAACAACGTGTAGATGGTATCGAAGCCAAGCCGCTGATGTCATGAAGTAGTTGGTGTAACAGATTAACCGCGTGCCCCCGGTTTATTCACTCTGTCAACAACGCACTCTGCCCATTTATGCCTTTGCGTTTATATTATTGTTGGTGATTTAATAAGTTTGACTGCTCTAGAAGCCCTCCGAGACGTCCCGTCTGATGTCTCTGCGTCTTCAACCATCCTACTCCGTAGCGACTGCCAATAATATTGTTTTTTAAGTATCCGGGACACTCGTTCGTCTGGACAATTGTCTGAGGAACAGGAACACCGTTTGCGTGGAGATATTTCCGTTCAACCCTCGAACCTCAGCAGGGCTACAAATGACGCCGACGACAGCAACTCACTCAAACTACTTTTTATGTTTATTTCTTCTATCACATTCTATTATATATCGTTGTCATTCTCCTTCTGACGACCGGGAAGTGACACAGGAATTCAAACTTGTAGCACAGATTGTGAATCCAAAATGTGGTGAAGTAAATGAGACAAATAATCATTGGTGTTTTTGTTTTACTTCACGGTTACCACAGAGCATCTGCCAGCACTGACAGCTAAATCCCAGCAACCTAATCATCATTCATGTGGTGAAAAGTCTTCCAACTGGTGAGCGAATAGCACCTGTGTCCCATGCAAATGAATCAGTTTGCATAGTGTTCATATTAGTGAAGAGAACTGCTCTTATTGCAGCGTGTTTTAGTCCTCAAACCGATGAAGACTCAAAAAATGTGAAAGGATATTTAACCAAACTGAAAATAATACTTTAGAGGACACCAATCCAACTTCCCTCAGCGTAACGATATGTGCAGAACAAGCCAGACAAATAGATGGGATTTCAGCCCTGGCACTGAGGTATAGTAGAAATTCTGTTGTTTGACGGCTCAGAGTAAAACTAAATCATGATGTGCCGCCTTATGAGCCAATGCAGACAGAGACATAGAAAACATGGAGCTCCAGCTCAACTTTCGTGGGCTTAAGTGAAGGACAGGCACAATATGGTATGTGAAAGTATCTGCATTGCATCAGGTTTTCTTCCCCTAGAACCGAGCAGCGGTTACATCTTCCTCAACGTGCTGTCGACGTACTGATGAACTTTTTAAATAGTAGAAGGTTAAGAGCCACAGAGACTGACCCGTCCTCCCCATCCCTGACGCACAGCCTTAATGGATTCAGCCGCTCTGCCTCCTCTGTCATATAAAACCTTAAATAAAGGTTTTTGAGACGACGTTGTCCAGTAAGTGGAAATAAACACTCCTACCAAGTCTCCCGCACGTAGTCATTTCTTGCTCATGCCGTCCCACCCACAGACTCGCCTCCCGTAAAGGTGAAACTCGAGATTTTCGGCAGATAAGAAAAGTTGGGAAAAGCAAAGAAAGCCTTATGGGAACATTTTGACTTCATTGTTCTGTTCAGCTTTTAAGGTGAGGACGTCGGCTGACCAGTAGGGTAGAGGAGCCACCAACCGAGCTTAGAGGGCCTTGTTAATGTGTTTACCTTTGAGCTGAGCAAAGCTAACAGCTTCACCCGCTTGCCAGTCTCTGTGCTAATTGACTGTAGCTTCATGTTTGACAGACAGACTGTAGCTCCGCCTCTTCTCAGCTCAAGTCTCACGACAGTCACATCACCGCTGCTTTATATAAAAGTTACTCACTGCAATAAACGTGCGCGTGGTTTACATTTAAATCCCGCTAAAAAACAAAGACCAGACTAGCGGTGGATGACGCTGAGCCTGGTTCACATTAGTATCTGAAAAACAACTGTTAACCCTGCGAAGATCGACCCAATGAGTGAGGCCTGTCTTTTAGCGCCGCACAAAGACGTTTCAGCAAAGCGTTTGACGGCACGCGTACACTTTCCGTGGTTTCTAGCCTCCCCAATACTATCCAAATTGCACAGATGTGGTAAACCCCAGGTAAAAACAAATACTACGAGTTATTTTCAGTTACTGTGTCTAAACTCAGGCCTGTTTGACAGCCATCGGCTGCTACAGTGTTAGCCAGGATTATGGGACCTGGCATTACCCCCTGAGGGAAAACAGGCCCTCATGGTCGGCCAATAGCGGCTGGGGTTGAGACCCACCCGACGTCCCGTAATCAAAAGCAAACAAACACATCTAAATTGGACAGACTAACATGTAACAGGAGCTATTGCTGGATCCTTTTGAGGAGCACACACTGCTCTAAATACCATTAATTACCTAAACCTGTGGGGAAAAGCTCGCCCATGCTCCTGTTCTGCAGATCATTATGCAAAGTTGGGCATCACATCAAAGATTTACATGGATTAATCTCGCGTTGACAGCTGCTCAGAGACCCGTTCCTTCATTTACAAGTAGGAGAGATGCATTTTTAGAGGCACAGCTTAAATACCATATATCTCCAGGCATTGTGAGGACATGGAATCCTTCTCAGCCCAGGAACCAAACAGGTCAAAGATGAGCTGACGGGGAAAGTTACTAGAGTCGGTACCAATATCTCGCCAGGCAAACAATCAGCACTGAGATTCTCACATTTAACAAGCTGAATTCGCCCTACACACACACACACACACACACACACACACACACATACAATCCCACGCACACATCTCAGCCAGAAGCACACACAGCTCTCTACACTGCTCATAAAGTAAGTGAAATGCAACCCCCATTGTGCAACAGTTACAGCATTAACAAAGTGGTCTTTTTTTACGGCCGCTGGCAGAGAATCAACCGGCCCGCGGTGGAACAAGAACAAAGAATATGATTAGAAAATAATCATTTTTATATATGCACACTTAAAGGTTAAACACAGGGGGGGAAAGCAGGCTGGAACGAAGGTAGTAAATAAACAACTCTTGGATTACGTCTCTTACAGTAAATGCAGAACAACTTTCCAACCAGCTCGTTGTGCGTAAAGCTCAATTCTTTGGTCCGATTTTTATTATAGAAACACATATGGAACACAATGTAAACAGTAGATCCCATTCTCGTCTTTATTACTCTTAGTCTGGACCAAGCGCGCTATAATTCAGTTTAATTTTAGTTTAACATACCAGGCACACCAGAGCACCAGGCAGGAACAAGAGGAGTGTGGACGAATTCAAGTCAGACAGAATTAGTCCTTTTTGTGGGGTGAACACTGAAGTATAATGTATTCCACTTTTTTTTTTAATTCAAGCACTTCCATGACGTTGTTGAACTCTTTGCAAAAAGAACATAATTTCATAACTCAGATGCTGACAGTTTGGCTCGTGTTTGGGGTGTTTTGCTAATAGCAGCTAATGTTGCCTTGATCGGAGTTCAATTCCTTAAATAAATCTGCCTGAAAAATGCATTCAAATGTCAACACATTTAAGCATGTGTCAGGGGTCTGCTGACAGATACTCTCAAGCTCCTAGGGTGGGGGGGGGGGTCACTTCACTTCATACCACAAGGTCCCTGAAGTTAATCTATGAAAGGAAGATCTAACATAACCATCCAGGAATTGTTAACAAAAGTTGTGTGGTGGAAATACTGATTATTATTGGTCACACAGTTACTGATTCCACTCTCTGTGGAAAGCGATTCCAATGCTCTGTTGGTCCCAGAAAAGGAGGCGAGTAACGATGCCGCTCGCCGCTGCTGGCAGACCAGTCTGCTGGTGGCCGGAGCAGAGCGAAGCTCCTCGTTTGCGCTCTGACTAACAGTTAATCCAGCAAATTCTGTCTGCAAACAGGAAAGGCGAACATTTGTGAGTCAATTTTGAGAGTCAATGCATTAAATTTGTTATCATAGAAATAGAAAC